GTCAGGCAGCAGCATGAATCGGGCAGACGGACACTAGAGATAGGACAGTTAATGTCAGGCAGCAGCATGGATGAGGCAGACGGACAGTAAAAATAGGACAGACACTGGAGATAGGACAGCTAATGTCGAGCAGCAGTATAGATCAAGCAGACGGACACTAGAGATAGAACGGTTAATGAAGAAAAGAACAACAAATATTGTGTACTGAATAAATAATTACGTATTTATTGTTTTTATGTACCTTGCTTCTGGATTATGCAAGTTCTAGTTTGCGTTGATGCATAATGAACCTTTCCTGTAGTTTATGAAGTTTAACTATAATGCTCCAAAACTGCATAGCTGCGACTTAGTTAAAACATCTGTGAAAATAAGCATTATTGTATAATAAGTACGTTTGAGAAAATAGAAATTATATATAAAAGAATAATTCAAGAATGCATAGACACATCGTTAAAAGATTGGAGATGATATGAAAATTATTTGTTTCTTGAATTTTGCACAGAGTTACTAACGGAATATTGCTATCCATCCCTAATTTTGAAGTTATAAGACTCGAGGGAAAACAACTATTCAACATCACCCACTGCCAATTCATGGGCTACTCTAATCAAATAGTGGGATTTGACTATCACTCTTATAATGCACCCACAGCCACAAAGTGCAGAATGCAATTTTTTTCACCATTAACTGGATGTGAATCAAGGAATCTTGGATCCAGTCTCACACTCTAGTTTGCACTTAGCCTTGCTATATAAACACAGGAGCGAACATATTCAGTTAAATATTCTTTCTCTATAAGAGCAAAAAAAAAATATGAATAATGTAAGGTTTATAATTCATTTTCTATACTTAGTAAATCTCTGTACATTAAGTGACACTTTCCAATAAACATCAATTCATTTTCTTATTGATACGGCACACAGACCATCACCACTAACAAGTGACAATACCATTTAATACAATGTCTTTTATCAAATTTATTCCAAAAATAATGCAAGTTTGCAATAGTTAGCTAGTTCGATAAACCAATCACAATTTTAATGAGCATTTTTCATCTTCATTTTGATTTCATTGGCTAATAGTTAAAATACATCAAATGTCTCTTAGTTTGAGAATGTTTTGAAAATATAATTTAACGTCAACTAATACAACATCACATTTCATCTTCCTTAGCTGCCACCTATTTGTTGAATTTTAACGTAAGGTTTTAATAGAAGTAAAAATCATTTCAAGTGCTCTGTTACGTTACTGTTGTAGTCCAATATCATCTCACTTACTAAACAACATCTTGGTCCTGGCACATACACATTTAATAGTTCCAGATAAACTTCAAATTTCAGTAGTAAGTGATGTGATCACTATGTTACCGTTTCTTCATAATCTAACACTTTCAGATTCTGGGAGACAAGTCACAATTCATAAAAACAAATTCAAGTTAATACAGGCCTAAAACACTTTAAGGAATACAGAACATTAGTTACATATCTAATACAAACAACACTTACAATTTCAATTAGCATATGACTCTTGACTCAAGAGTTAAGTGAATACAGGTTTCCCAGTAATCCCTAGGAGACAGAAACAGCACTCTCTGTCACTAGTAACATGGATGACATAAACAGCACTCTCTGTCACAAGTAACATGGGTGACATAAACAGCACTCTCTGTCACGTGTAACATGGGTGACATAAACAGCACTCTCTGTCACGTGTAACATGGGTGACATAAACAGCACTCTCTGTCACGTGTAACATGGTGACATAAACAGCACTCTCTGTCACTAGTAACATGGGTGACATAAACAGCACTCTCTGTCACTGTAACATCGGTGACATAAACAGCACTCTGTCACATGTAACATGGGTGACATAAACAGCACTCTCTGTCACAAGTAACATGGGTGACATAAACAGCACTCTCTGTCACTAGTAACATGGATGACATAAACAGCACTCTCTGTCACTAGTAACATGGGTGACATAAACAGCACTCTCTGTCACTAGTAACATGGGTGACATATCTCTGTCACAAGTAACATGGGTGACATAAACAGCACTCTCTGTCACATGTAACATGGGTGACATAAACAGCACTCTCTGTCACATGTAACATGGGTGACATAAACAGCACTCTCTGTCACTAGTGTCTTGATACGTCTTCGTTAAATCTTAAGGCTTCTGATATTATATATATATAATGACATTTAAGTTTAATACATATTACCATTTAAGTCAAACTTCTTTACAAGATATAAGCCTAGCATCAAAGTTTTGTAGCAAACATATGAGCATGAACAAATAAAACAGGAGCTGAAATCAAACTCAAAGGAAAACAAAAGAAAGTAATTTTTAAATTAAAAACAGTTGAGTTATAAAATCAAGAAACAAACAAATCTATGTTTAAGGAGCTATCTGTCGTAGCTCATGTACTAAAATTACACAAAGTAAACTGTGGTTTGTCAAAAGATGTAATCACTCCTTAAAGCATATTATAAAAATTAATTGTCTTTCAGCCATAAGAAAACAAACAATTAATTAGTCTTCATTTTTATGTTTATTCAGATAAACTATTTTTAAAGAGCTAAAATTATGAATAGTGTGCTTGAATTTATCAAAGTAACTGTCCCAAAGTTCAATATTCAAGTTTTGGCAGACAAGTTCAAAAAACAAAGTTAGTCCAGTTTTACTTTCATTGATAAAACATCAAAATTAAATTGAAGACTTTGATTTTATAACAAAATTATTCACATGAAAATAAAAGTTACTCTGTCTTAATTACCACTACAATCATTGCTTTATCCTTCTGTCTACTTTTCACTCATCAGCTGCTTTTAGATTTTGCTCTTGGGTCTTGTACATATTCCCTAAAAACACAAAATCAAACTAAGTAAACTGTAATACATATTCCCTAGAAACATAAAAACAAACAAAGTAAACTGTAGTACAAATTCCCTAAAAACACAAAACCAAACTAAGTAAACTGTAATACATATTCCCTAGAAACACAAAACTAAACTAAGTAAACTGTAGTACAAATTCCCTAAAAACACAAAACTAAACTAAGTAAACTGTAGTACATATTCTCTAAAAACACAAAACAAAACTAAATAAACTGTAGTAAACATTTAAATTATTTACTTAAAAATAAGAAAAATATTAAATTAAAAAAACAAAACTTGTATATTTTATGTAAATTTAATTCTGGCTTTTATAGATTTTATACTGAAGAGTGTGATCAAAAAGAAAGGATTCAAGTTTTCTTATACATGTTCATCTCCAAGTGAAACTACCTTGAATTACAGTGTACATATATATAGACTCGCACACATCAAACCACCTGGTTTGATATTAACTACAGGTGAAAAACAATAAAGCTAGAATACAAACTACAGAAATGGAATGGAAGACTTTGCAGGAAAGTTGTCTCAAGAAGTAGAGCAAACAATGTGATAAAGAAATGTCATGTATCAGTTTCAACCTCTATTTACACTCCTCACAGGTTGAATAAAGTCAAGAATATAAAATCAGGATCAGATGAATAATCTTAAGCCTATAAAATATACCACATCTGAGCTGCCAGTCACCAACAGCAACAGTAGTTAATTGTGAGCTTGAACATCTGTAGATTGGACCTTGTGTTATTTATATGACCTAAACTGTGTTGTTCAATTTTCTTTTGTCCTCACTATTTGGTTGAAATCATTAAAAATATGTAGTTACTTCTACACTCTGTCAGCAAGTAATAAACAAAAATAAATATGCTAAAGAAAGTTAATTAATAAAGTAAAGTACACAGAGTGAAAGAAGAATGATAGAGAAAATCTCTTTTTAAAAAGTTATAAATGAATCATGAAATTTCATTTTATTTACACAAATATAAATAAATAATGAAACGAGACATATGCGTTTAACAATTATACATGAAACTACTTGTGTATTTTTAATAATGATTATTTTCTATGCGATCTGTACTTACATATCCATGGTGTTGATAGTTGAGTGAGGGCAGAAGCTTTCCACTCGAACATGACAGCTCTTATGACATATCAGGTTACAATCTGTTTTGGTGAAAATAACATCCACTTCCAATGAACAATTTAAATGTAACAAAGAAACACTGCATTTTACATAACAAACTAAAAAAATGGTACAAAGATAAACAAGATCTTCAAAGGTGTGAATAGAAAATTAAATCCATGTTGTATGTTAGGCCTACAACATGACAGTTTGAAACTGGTTCTACAACTTAACTAGACAACACCTCTGAAATTTTGAATTTAGATGACTAATATTGGGAAGATAATCAGTGTAATATCTCGTTCACTGGTGTGGCTACGCACACTCTTTAAGTGAATGTTCAAATTTAAATCAAAGCAGTGAATAATCTCTAGTTTTTCCATTATCCCCCATTTTGATTTTGATTTCATTTCTTATTTTTGCAAGTTTATATTTTTATTTTAGATAACATTCTCCTAAATGGAGTTAATTTCGCTCAAACAACAAAAGTTAAAACATAAAAATTAGTATTTTAAGAACATATTTTCTCATTAAAAATCAAAATTATAAAACAAATAACTATTTATCTAAAACAAATAGTTCAACTCCAGATAAATACCAAGTTACAATTTTTAGAAAATGACAAATGTAATGAAGTACGTACAGAAAAATTAAAATAACAAATTTTACATCCAACATCATCAAATACTGCCTAACGAGATGATACGATTGGAATTTCTTATCTGCTTAACGAAGGAAACACAGTTATTATGATCAGCTTGATATCAATTCAAGAATTAGCCATTATTTAAGAAAGAAAAAGTTTGTTTTAGAATAATTTTCTATTAATCATGTAAAAGAAATTATTAAATTTTTGTATGATGCAAATTGATAACAAATAGTTCAACTTTTAATAAAAGTGTAGAACTGGTGGGAGATAAATAACATCTTTTTGGTAGTCAGTAAATGTCAGGACAGCAAGTTTGACTTTACATTTTCAAATATTTGAATTGTGTATAAACTCAGTAAATGTAAGGACAGGAAGTTTAACAATAAATTTTCAATTATTTGAATTATGTATAAACTCAGTAAATGTAAAGACAGCAAGTTTGACTTTACATTTTCAAATATTTGAATTGTGTATAAACTCAGTAAATGTAAGGACAGGAAGTTTAACAATAAATTTTCAATTATTTGAATTATGTATAAACTCAGTAAATGTAAGGACAGGAAGTTTAACAATAAATTTTCAATTATTTGAATTGTGTATAAACTCAGTAAATGTAAAGACAGCAAGTTTGACTTTACATTTTCAAATATTTGAATTGTGTATAAACTCAGTAAATGTAAAGACAGCAATTTGGACTTTAAATGTTCAATTATTTGAATTGTGTATAAACTCAGTAAATGTAAAGACAGGAAGTTTAACAATAAATTTTCAATTATTTGAATTGTGTATAAACTCAGTAAATGTAAAGACAGCAAGTTTGACTTTACAATTTTCAAATATTTGAACTGTGTATAAACTCAGTAAATGTAAAGACAGCAAGTTGGACTTTAAATGTTCAAATATTTGGATTGTGTATAAACTTAGTAAATGTAAAGACAGGAAGTTGGACTTTACATTTTC